ACCTAGCCTAGCTCTGGCCATTGTGGCCATTTGGGCAGTGAATCAGCAGATGGAAAACCTCTCTCTCGCATGCTCTCATTAATTCTTTCAAATAAATATATAAATCCTTAAAAAAAGAGACCTATTTCCTGTTTGCTTTTAATTTATTTATTTTTACTGGAAAGGCACATATAGAGAGAGGAGGAGAGACAGAGAGGAAGATCTTCTGTCTGATGGTTCACTCCCCAAGTGACCACAACAGCCAGTGCTGTGCTGATCTGAAGCCAGGAGCCAGCAGCTTCCTCCGGATCTACCATGTGGGTGCAGGGTCCCAAGGCTTTGGGTCGTCCTTGACCTCCCATAAGCAGGGAGCTGGATGGGAAGCAGGGCCGGTGGAATTAAACCAGCACCCATATGGGATCCTGGCGTGTTCAAGGCGAAGACTTTAGCCGCTACGCTATTGTGCTGGGCCCTGTTGTTTTTTTAAAGCACATCATTAAGGCTTTTCCAATCCTTTTCTAACAATATCTGAGCAACTTAAGTAATTTACCAGAAGCACTTAGCTACACATTCATTAAATCTACAAGCTCCATTAGATTTGGTCAATCCAGATACAGCATTAGATCATAGGCTGGTGTGGCACTGCTTTCCCCTTTATAAATACTTTTATTTTATAGGATTTCCCCCGCCTTACTAGAAAGGCAGAGTGACAAAAAAAAAAAAAAAAGGGACCCTCCATCCTCTGATCCTGCTCCTCTGATGGCTACAATGGCCGGAACTGTCCCAGGCCACAGCCAGAGGCCAGAAACTCCACTGGGTCTCCCAGGCAGGTGGCAGGAGCCCAAGCACTCGGCCCATCACCTGCTGCCTTTCAAGTGTATTAGCAGGGAGTTAGGCAGAGCAGCCCAAACTTGAACAGGTGTTCAAGAGATGCAGGCATCCCAAAGCATCATGAGATGATGTCCCATTTCATTCTTTTATAATAACATTCACCTTCTGCCAAGAGCTGGGATGAATTCAGCTTGGTGATCAATAGAACAGTCACTTTCATCTGCTCTTGGTGGTTGTATTTGAAAGTTCTAGGCAAAATTATCAAGTGAAGCAACGGAGACCTGAAGAATTGGGATTTATCCCCAGGTATGCCAAAATGACTTAACACTTGACTACCTTAGAAACCTATTGTTATAATTCATTTTCATTAACAAATTAACGAGGGGAAAAAAATGACTATTTCAGATCATGTAGACAGATATAGGAAAAAAGTAAATACCCGCCTTTTATTTTACAATTAATAACAGAACAAGACACTTTAGCAAAAATACTTGTCTAATGTAAGAAAGGGCACACACGTAATCATGGAATGTTAAGTATTTTCCTTGAAATTAGAGACAAGGATTCGTCCAGCACCTTCAAGGGACTCATCCCGACCATGAAATCAATCACTGTCAAGTCTAGACAGTTCGCGACAGTTCTGTGCCAAAAGCGCTCCTGTAGTTTCCACAGCAATATCATGAGAATTCTCAGTTTCGCTGGAGACCCGCGTGGTCCCTCCTGCAGCAGGAACCCAGTGAACTGGATCTGTTCACCGGCTCGAGCATTTACTTCTCCTGCAAGTCATAATACTAAGGACGGGAAGCTCATCATGAGCCACAAGTTCACTGCAATCACAGATCTTTGTCCACACAGGACAGCGCAGAATACGGAGCTGTGCAGGTATCAGAAGAACAGTGTGACATCAGGCCTCACCTCTGCCACCTGCACAGCAGCCAGGACCTGTCTCAGCCCACGGTCTGTACCTGGTCATCTTACCTGGCAGGTAATCAGATACAGAATTACGAATAAGAACTTAATTTTATTATATTCCTAACAGTGTGTTTTGGACTCTGCAGTGACCTTTTTCTTTCTTTCTTTCTTTTTTTTTTTTTTTTTGGTTCTACACATTAGATTTTGTTTATCCAGTCTAGATTTGTCTTTTGGCAAAGTTCAAGAAGAGGCAAATTCAAACTAAGGGTTCTCATTATCTCTCAACAAAGGACAAAGTTAAGAAGGGGCCTGTGCTTTGGCATAGCTAGCAAGTTAAGCCACCACCTGGGGTGCTGGCATTCCACATGGGTGCCCATTTGAGTACCAGCTGCTCCATTTTTGATCCAGCTCCCTATGAATGCGCCCGGGAAATTAATGTGCCTCCTCTCTATATCTATGATTTCCCAACAGGATGTTCCAAGTGGTTGGTCCCCCACGCTTATATGGGAGATCCAGAAGAGGCTCCTAGCTTCTGGCCAGAGGCGGGCCAGGTCAACATAGCCATCTGGGGAGTGAACCAGCACATGGAAGATCTCTCTGTGGCTCTGCCTCTCAAATAAGTCATAAATCTTAAAAAAAATTTTAAAAGGCCAGGTTAAGCTAAGAATATTATTCACGACATTAGAAAAAAGTAAAAAACATAAATAAAAACAAATGCATCAGGGCCTGGCACAGTACCCTAGCAGCTAAAGTCCTTGCCTTGCACACACTGTCAAGATCCCATATGGGTGCTGGTTCTACTCTCAACACCCCTGTGTCCCATCCAGCTCCCTGCTTGTGGCCTGGGAAAGCGGTCTAGGACGGTGCAAAGTCTTGGGACCCTGCATCTGCATGGGAGACCTGAAAGAGGCTCCTGGCTCCTGGCTTCAGATCAGTACAGTTCTGGCAGTTGCAGCCACTTAGTGAGTGAACCAGTAGATGGAAGAGTTTCCTGTCTCTTCTCCTCTCTGTATATCTGACTTTCCAATAAAAAAATAATAAATCTTTAAAAAAATTCATCAGAAATAGATTAACAGCAGAACTATTCTTTAGAAGTCTTCTATGATGAATATATAACTTTATATTTGGGGAAAAAAAGTTACTTTTTAAAGATGCAAAATTCTTTCCCACTGGCTTATCTATTTAATACAATATCAATCAAATCACCAAAGACACAGAAGAGGAACTGAGGGGGACTTCAGGCAGCTCCACCTGAGACATAAAGATGGCGCTAGAGGAATAAGTCATCATACGGCAAGAGGGTCATCAAATTTGACAAGATAAGAAAATTCAAAGCTTTAATTAACACTTAATTAAGTAAATTCCTATCTAATGACCTCTAATAAAACTGTTTTCACACTTCCAATGAAATACCTGTGAATTTATAACGCAATGATTTAAAAACAAAACAAACAAAAATCTTTTTTAACAGGACCCACCACTAAGACGACAGGACAGTCAGGCACAGAATCAGGGCGCAACCGACTGATGTTAAAACAGGAAAGAAGATTCTTGCTAGGCGTGCTCAGGGCAATTTGCTCCTTGAAACAGTGATGACCCCTAAAATCAGGTGAGAAGATGTTTTCATCCTCCTAAGAAGCCTCCTACATCCCAGGCCCAGAGAGCAGCCTGGAGGCAGGAAGCAAGGGAACACGGCTCCCTCTGCTGCTTCCCCAGCACCACTCCGAAAGCAGGCAGGTACCAACACAAGCAACCCACTGCCATACATCATAAAACAATCCTGGACTGATGCAAAAGTTTATTTAAAAAAAAAAAAACAAAAGTGAGTGTTCATTTGATTTGGACCGGAAAACATCTTTCCAAGCAAAAACAAAAGATTACAAAAAAAAAAGAATAAAGGAAATGATTAACAGATTCGAATGACATAATGTTAATATTAAGTGTTAGCAAGACTCGGGAGACAAGTGCTCTCATGAACAGCTGGGGGAAATAAACTGGTATGTTTCTGAAAGACAGTCTAGCTGGATGTGTCGAAACACTTTCGAATGTTTATACTCTTGGATTCATTAAGTCAACGTCTAGGAATTTTTCCTAAAGAAATAATCAGAGACATATTTTAAAAATGGTTACAGTATCAAAAAACCAGGATGAACATTAATGTTCACTACAACATATGAGAATACCTCAAAAACTCTGGAGGGAATTTGAATTAAAAGACATTTGGATATAAAAAATTGTTTTTGAAATAGTTTTCACAACAGGCAATTTCCATGCACTTTTTGAAGTACCAACGTATATGCTCAACCACAGAGGACTGCTAAATAAGAAATATGTATATATTTTTATGACACTATCTGACCTCGAAGACAATGTTTAAAAGAATAACTAGGGGCCTGGCAAGATAGTGAAGTGGCTAAAGTCCTCGCCTTGAACAGCCCGGGATCCCATACGGGTGCCAGTTCTAATCCCGGTGGCTCCACTTCCCATCCAGCTACCTGCTTGTGGCCTGAGAAAGCAGTCGAGGACGGCCCAAAGCCTTGGGACCCCTGCACCCACCTGGGAGACCCAAAAGAGGCTCCTGGCTCCTGACTTCAGATCGGCTCAATTTTAGCTGTTGCACTCACTTGGGGAGTAAATCAGTGGATGGAAGATCTTCTCTGTCTCTCCTCCTCTCTTTATATCTGACTTTCCAATAAAAATAAAATGTTAAAAAAAAATAGCTAAAGAAAAATACACTCAGCAAATGTTAAATGTACATGATGAGCACATTGTTTTAACCTGTCAGATGCGCACACACACACACACACACACACCTGGAAGAGGCATGAAAACAGTGATTTAAGTTACACTTTTGTGGGAAAAAATAAGGAGTGATTTTAATTATCTGTGACTGAGAGCCAAAAGAAAGCATGCCACGTGACAGACCTGGGTAACGTGTACTCAGCACTCAGGACTCCGTTCTCTTAGCACTTCCACAAGGTCCTTCCTCCCCAACCCCACATCCTACACTGGGCGTCTCTCCTCTCCCTGCACCAGCCTCTGGCCATAGACTCGAAGACACTCCCTACACCTGCATCAATGTGATCCTGTTTGATTCACTACACCTTAACTATATCACGCTTGGAAATCTGGGTGTTACCCTTTTTGTGTTTCCAATGCTATTCTCTCTGGAATTGAACGACCCTGAGCGAACACGTGATTCTCTCAGTTCTACAGACTCTTAAGCAGAGAAACGTTCCTACGGATGAGCAAACAGCAGCAGCGGTATCCATTCTTACCTTGGCCAGTAAGCTGGAAACACGCTTAATTTCACCACTGGCCTTCAGCAACTCCTGTCTGAGATCAGTGCAGGATAGTTCCAGCTGATCCTTCTCGGCTCGGGCCGCTTTGAGCAGTTCTTGCATTTCACAGCTCTCTGCCTTCTGCCCCGGGGTACTGGCAGCTATAGTTTTTTGCTTCTCGCCCTCCAGATGAGCCTTCAAAGACCCATTCTCCACCTTCAAGCCTTCCAAGGACACTCTGCATTCTTCCAGAGTTTTCGCCATCGCGCTGTTGTTACGCCGCTCCACTTCGAGGACCCCGTTCAGCTTTTCGTTCTCGCCCTTGAGGCGTTTGATGGTTTCCAGAGCCCCCAGGTTCTCCTCCTCCACCTTGCGCAGGCTGCAGGTGAGCTGCTGCTGGATGCTGAGCAGCTTCTCCCTCTCGAAGCGGCCCTGCTCCAGGATGTCCGTGCACTTCTGCTCCAGCTCCTGCAGCTTTCCCTCCTGGGCGCTGGGCTCCTCGTTGTTCTTCGCTCGCTCTTGTAAGAGATTGAGGAGCTTCTCATTCTCCTGACTCAGCTGTTCCGCCCTCTCCCGATGCTGCTGGAAGGAGGTCTCCAGCAGAGTCTTCTCGTCCACCAGCTTCTCATTCTCGGCTGTCAGTTCCTGCACCATCTGCTGCTGGTCCGACAGTTCCTGCAGGGTGGCCTGCAGCTCTTCCGCCGTGCTGTGGTGGTTTTCTTCCATCTTTTGGATCTTCTCTGTGAGGGAGGCCAGGGAGAGCTCGCTCGCATTGTTGGGGGAACTGCCAGCGGTGGGGCACTTGGAGCTCTTAAAAGGGTTGCTGCTGGAGGACAGGGGTCGGGAGGGGATATCAGCCGGAATATGCTCAAAGTCAGAGGCATCTGGCGACAGGGAGGCCTTGGTGACATCGCTGCTGGAAGAGCCCGACGTCCGTAACGCATTTTCATGGGAGCTTTTTTTATATTCCTCGATTTCACTCGACAGCTCCTGTCCTGTCGGGCTTCCGAAGCTTGACTCCTGAGTTAGGGATGCCGGGCAGCTGCTGTCGCCAGTCTGACTTACTGTCCCTTCTGAGTTTGGAGACTGCTCCAGGTAGGTCAATTTCTCCTTTAAGGCTCGATTTTCTTCCTCTAGAAAGGCTAGTTCTTTCTGAAAGTCCTTGTTCTTCTCCTCGAGAGCTCTGATCAGAGGTTCTGGGGCCCCTGCGGGGACCAGTGTCACAGCGACACCCGGGTCTGACGCGCCCGCTCCTTCGGGGCTCAGCGCCCTTTTCTCTTTGCATTTCTTAAGTTCACTTCGCAGCCTGTTGATTTCACTGTCTTTGGCTTTGGCTTCTGCCAGAAGTTCTCGAACTTGAGACTCAAGCACCGCCTTCTCCCCACTTTCATTCTCTTGCTTGGGTTTTGCGGAAGTAGTCCTCAGGTACTTGGTAGGAGTAGGGTTGCTGGAAGAAGTTGGACTGGACACTGATTTCCTGGGATTGGAGGGACCACGTGGCACAGACCTCTCTCTTGAAGTGGTCACCGAAAGTTCCCGGGGGGCTGGAATGCCTGTCCGTTTGGTTGTTGTAGCAGTCCCTAAAGACAGAACAAGGAAAAAATGTCAAACAAAGTAATAAAAACAAGCACTTTCATAATTTCCAAATGACTTCAAATGTGGTTGCTACCCTTCATCGAGTTCTTCCTCCTCTGGATATTTGGGTATTTTCTTCTCTCCAATTGGAATTCCTGTCCTGTCTTCCCATACCCCTATATTTTTGGAAGAAGCCGGCTCAAAGCCTGAGAAACCTAGAATAATCCCACCCCAAGCCACAGCTGCTGGTTCCAGGCATGGGCACACTACAAGGCCGAGGTCAAAGGGCAAACTGATAAAAGTATCAGTGGACATCAGCAAGAAATCCTGTGAATGTGGGCATGGGCAGCAACCACCTCATTCTCAAAGAGGAAGGTAAAGAATGGAGACAGTAGAGCAGAAACAAGGGAACTCAACCTTTATGTCACTGAAAACCGAATCAATGCCTGAAGCTCAGGAGAGAGAAGCAAACTCAACTTCAATCTCATTGTTGAGTTGTTAAACTAAATCAGTGTCTGAAGCGTGACTAATTGTTGCTGGTCCTTCAGTCACACAAGCCAGTGAAGCCTCTTCACGGGGCAGCCATTTGGTAGAGCAGTGGGGTTGCCTCTTGGGCTGCCTGAATCCCATCCTGGAGTGCTTGTGCCTCCGTACTGGATTCACTTACAGTCGCAGCTTTCTGCTACTCCAGAACCAGCGAGGCAACAGGCGTTGGCTCAAGCAGTGGCATCCCTGCCACCTGACAGACCTGCACTGAGTTCTAGGTTCCTGCTTTCAGCCCAGCCCAGCCCCATCTTCTGCAGGCATGGAGGGAACAGACCTAAATGAGAGCTTTTCCTGTCTCTCTAAATTTCAAGTAATTAAATCAACAATTAACTTAAAATTCCTTTTCATGCTCATGTCCTGAGAAAGCAGGGGAGGATGGCCCAAGGCTTTGGGACCTGCTACTCAGGTGGGAGACCTGGGAGAAGCTTCTGGCTCCCAGCTCCGGACCAGCCCAGCTTCGGCCTTTGCAGCCTTTTGGGGAGTGAACTAGCAGACAGAAGATCTGTCTTTCCTTCCCTCTCTGTAACTCTAACTTTCAAGTAAAATAAATCTTTAAAAAACTATATTCTTTATATAAATCATCTAGAGGTGAATCTTCTAGAATCTGCAATTTAATACATGATAGCATGGCAACTGAAAATATAAATCCATTGTGCTTTTCTCACACATGTATTAAGAATCGTCATTAACATATTTTTGAGTATGAATTGGATGAGGAAATCAGAAGTGATAACAATGCTGATGATTATCAGATCTTACTAAATGAAACTTTGTTTTTTAATTGCTTTTTAAAAATATCACTTATTTGGGCCCAGCGCAATGGCTCATTTTGCTAATCCTCCACTTCCAAGCATTGGGATTCCATTGGGTGTCAGTTCATGTCCCATCTGCTTCACTTCCCATCCAGCTCCCTGCTTGTGGCCTGGGAAAGCAGTGGAGGACGGCCCAAAGCCTTGGGACCCTGCACCCGTGTGGGAGTGAATCAGCGGATAGAAGATCTTCCTCTCCATCTCCTCTCCTCTCTGTAAATCTGCCTTTCAAATAAAAATTAAATAAATCTTTTTTAAAAAATACACACAGAAAATGAGCATATGAAAAGAAGTTCCATATCTTACATCATATTAGTAAACCACAAGATACCACTACACACCTATTAGAATGTTGGAAATCTAAAACACCCAAAACAGCAAATGATGATGCTGATGGAGGCGGGGAGCAGCAAGAACTTGTATTCATTGCTGGGAGAAATACAAAACGACACAACTATTCCCAAAGACAGTTTTATGGTTTCCTACAAAACTCAGGCTATTGGTACCACAAGATTCAGCAATCACGTTCCTTGGTTTTTCAAGCTTTATTTATAAAACTTGGAAAGAGCTAAGACATCCTTCAGTCGGTAGGTGAATGGATAGCTAAACGGTAGTACTTCTAGACAATGGAACATTATTCAGCCCTTAAAAGAAAACGCAAGATAGCAAGCTAGGAAAAGACAGAAAAGAACCTTAAACGTACATCCCTAAGTGACAGAAACTCATCTAAAAACGCTACATAGAATTCCAGCCTTCTGATGTTTTGGAGTAAGCAAAATGATCATGTTTGCCAGGGACAAGAGTTGGGGAGTACACAGGCAGTGCCCAGAATGATTTTCTGTCAGTGAGAATACTCTCTATCATACTCGAAGGAACTACACAACCATGGCGGATAACCACACATCCACACACATTCCCTGACTGTAACAAACGTGCCACAGGGCCAGAGGGAGGGCCGGGGCAGTGGTGACACTGGGGAAGGCAGGAGGTATGGGAGATACTACTTTGTTGCTGGTTTTGCTGTGCTTAATAAATTGCTCTAAAATGTGTGTGTGTGTGTGTGTGTGTGTGTATTAATAAAAGGCCAGATAGGAATAATGAAGCAACTACCCTTGAGAAGCAGAGCAAGAAATGCGAAGGGCAGGGTAACAACAGTGTTGCCTTTCATAATAAGCTCCTCGTCCCGGTTCCTATTTTTTCAAACCTGTACATAAATACAGTGTGAAAGCAGGCAATTAACAATACGTTGGTTTTATAGACAGCACTGATCCTTTGGACTTGGAACAAATGAGATAACAGAAAAAAAAAATCTGAGGTCATTGTCATTCAGCAAGCAGACACACCCTGGGAAGGAACTAAACCTGCTATCAGTTCTTGCAGCCCCACCCCAGCCTGCAGTAGAAAGGATTTTTTTGGAGGTGATGAGGGGTTGGGAATTGACTAGATGGTGAGTAAAAGAGATCTCGGTTTCACTGGCAAGAGCCAGGGCTGGGCCAGGTCAAGGCTGTAGGTGACAGGGACCCCAAGCACTTGAGCTGAAGCCCCTAAAGCAATACCATAGCAGAAAGCTGGGAAGCAGAGCACAGCGGGGAGGCAGTTACACGGTAAGGGCTTCTCAAGTGCCCATCCCAAAAAGGGCTTTTTCCACAACTAGCTTGCCCTTGGGGTCCGGAGGAATGCTTTTCTACAGAATCCTATGTATCTCACATCAAAGTTAAAGGAAACTGCAACCCGAAGGGGAAACCCCCCCAAAATCCCATATTTATACAAAAGAATCAAATTAATTTTTTTTTTGCTCCCTTTGTTGAAAGCAAACAGTAAAGCAAATATTAGTGTCAGCAATTAGAGATGTTTTCCGTTTAAAAAAAAAAGCACAAATATTTTGTATCTATATACGTATAGATACATATTTTGCAGAATAAAAAATGAATTTTGCTCACAACTTGCCGAGCAATTTAAAGCACTTGGAAATCTATCCCCTTTTCTTCCCAAATGCTTACCACAGCCACTGGACACAGTGCTTCAGATCGAGGCGGATAATGAAACTTCTGAACAAAAGACCCCTAACACTCAGAAGGGGGCTCTGGAGGGACTGCAGGGGAGGGGACACAGTGACCACTCTGTGCTGAGGTTACAAGCAAGACATGGCAGGACACAAAGCCACACTGTTGAGAAGAAGAGATAGTGGTACGGGCTGACCAGCTTCTTGCAGGCGGCCACACAACTGACCACAGTTAGTTATCTCCAGGAGAGGCCAAAGCACAAAACGGCTCTGGGAGGGCATCTCCTATATAGAGTTGTGCAAAAAGAGCAGGGCGGGCCAGGAGCCCAGGACGCCTCCTTTCCGCTCAAAGTACACTGGACAGAGGGGTACCTGATCCCAGAATTCTCCCTGCATTAATCTCCCTGCCCAATTGTTTGGGCCAAAGGAAATCTTGCTGCCTAAAAATGGAGAATCTGGCACCTTCACATAGAAATCTCCCAGGAGCCTGGGAAAATAAAGCTGTGGTCTCCCAGGCAGCACAGAAGGGACCGAGGGTTAGTGCATGGAAGAGACCTGCCTCTCCGTGCGCAGCTTTTCGGGAGAAAGGGGAAAAGCTCAACCTGTAGGTTTGTGAGGCTCGCTGTAAAACCAGAATGACTCAGGCTAGGTCACAACTGAACTCTTGACCTCTTAGAATGTACAGAGGTGGCTCAGCTGGAGCTCTGTCTCAGAGAACAGTAAGAAACATCCAGGTTTCACCATCATAAGATGGGAAATTCATCTGAATCTCAACAGGAGAAACTGAGGGGGTCAGAAGGACTGAATAAGCTAAGTCCCACTCACAAGTTCTTTCCTTTGTACAGGAAGTGAAAACAACGCTTTATATTCGCACAGAGCTCTGGTTTTCATAACATTTCTATGTAAATGCATCTGAACCTTATATTTGAAAAAAAAAAATCGGTTTATCAAAAGAATTATTACCATCCTTTTGCAGGTCAGCAAACTAAGACTATGAAAGGATTTCCATAGGCCCAAGGGCCACAGAAGAAGTAAATCTTCTAGCATCTAAAAAAATACCGTATCACACTGTTTCAGAACTGGAAGAAACACAGAAATCTCATGGCCAAGTTTCTCCTCATAAAGTCAAGCCAATACTGGCTTATGCTTCAACTGAATATTTTCAAAAAAAGAGAACCCAGCATTAGACAGCCCTTTGCACTGCTCATCCCCTCAAAGAGTTGGGACAATTCTTCTCTGTATAGAGCTGAATTCCATCTTCATTAGCGCAGCACACACTGGTTCCAGTTCTGACACAATCTGGAACCACAAAGAACAAATGTATTGCCTCTTCCACATGACATCTGAGTATCTGAGGGCAGCTTTGTTTTCCCTTAGTCTTCTATTCTTCATTCAAAACATTCCCTTTCTGTCCCCTGCCCCTCAGACCTCACAGGACCTGGGGACCATTAATTGCAAACACTTCTTGGAGACCTTTTCGCCCAAGGTCCCTCTGAAGCGGTACTCAGAATTCCAAAAACGCTGCACATGTGGTTACTATGAGTTAGGAGTGCGGCAGAAAACCCAACTCAAAACTAACAATACAGAGAAGCACCTGGCCTCTGCAACTTGAGGTCCAGGGTCAGGTGGAGCGGCAGATCTGGCCCAG